CCCATTCTGTGGGCTGCTATTTTTGACTTATTGACGGTGTCCTTTGCCTTACTGAAGCTTCTCAGTTTTAGGAATTCCCATTTATTAATTGTCAATCTCAGTGTCTGTGCTACTGGTGTTATGTTCAAGAAACTGTCTCCTGTACCAATTCATTCAAGGGTACCTCCTACTTTCTCTTCTAAGAGGTTCTGTGTGGCTGGATTTATGTTGAGGTATTTGATCCATTTAAGTTTTGTGCATGGCGATATATATGGATCTATCTACAGCCGTCTACATGCAAGCATCCAGTTATGCCAGCATCATTTTCCATTGTATAATTTTAGCTTCTTTGTCAAAAATCAAGTGTTCGTAGGTGTGTGACTCCACATCAGGTTTTTCAATTTGATTCCATTGATCTACCTGTCTATTTTTGTGCTAATACAAAGCTGTTTTCAGGACTATAACTCTGTTATAGAGCTTGAAGTCAGGAATGGTGATGCCTCCAGAAGTTTCTTTAATGTACAGGGTTGTTTTGGCTGTCTTGGGTCTTTTGTTTTTCCATATAAAGTTGAGTTTCGTTCTTTCAAGGTCTGTGAAGAATTGTGCTAGGATTTTGATGGGGATTGCATTGAATCTGTAGATTGCTTTTGGCAAGATTTCCATTTTTACTATGCTGATCCTACCTATCCAAGATCATAGGAGACCTTTCCATTTTCTGGTATCTTCTTCAATTTAAAAACTCAAAGTTCTTGTTATACAGGTCTTTCACTTGTTTGGTTAGTGTTACTTCAAGGTATTTTATGTTGTTTGTGGCTATTGTAAAGGGTGACGTTTCTATGATTTCTTTCTCAGTTCATTTATCATCTGTATAATAGGGCTACTGATTTTTTAGTTAATCTTATATCCTGCCTCTTTGCTGAAAGTGTTAATCAGCTGTAGGATTTCCCTGGTAGAATTTTTTGGGTCACTTATGTAAACTACATATCATTTACAAATAGTGAAAGTTTGACTTCTTCTTTCCCAATTTGTATCCCCTTGATCTCCTTTTGTTGTCTTATTGCTCAAGCTAGAACTTCAAGTACAATATTGAAGAGTTATGGAGAGAGGGGACAATCTTGTCTTGTTCCTAATTTTAGAGGAATCATATTGAGTTTCTCTCCATTTGGTTTGATGTTGGCTGTTGGTTTGCTGTATACTGCTTTTATTATGTTTAGGTATGTTTCTGCTATCCGGGATCTCTCCAAGACCTTTATAATGAAGGGGATTGTCAAAGGGGTTTTTCAAAGGCTTTTTCAGCATCTAGTGACATGATCAGCCATTAAAGGCTAGGCTTATAACCAAAATTATTTCTACCTCTTGAACTTAGAAATTCTTGGTCACATTTGACAAAGCAAGTTTTCACATTACTTAGCTTTACAGTTTTGAATTGAAGATGTATTGTGACAGCTATCTAATCTTAGAAGATACTTGTAGCTCAACATGATAGTTCTCCTTCCCATGATGGAAATTTCCTGAGTGCACTTACACATGTGCTCACACACCATGTGCTTTAAAGCAGAACTGTGACAAGGGAGCGATGAAATCAAAGGCATTGGCTTTGGGCATTCACATATGTCCTTTCTATTGCTCGAGGGATGTCTGTGTTTGTGGATCTTTCTTGGGAGTTACCATAAAACTTTCCCTCTGGTTGTGTAGCTAGTGGTTAGACAAAAAAAAAGATACTGTTGGACCCTTCTCTTGTGACCCTTGCTTATATTTAATGATATCTATTTATTCAGCTGAAAGAAACAAAGTTTTGATGTTGGAATTTCAGGTTTCTGGACATGACCCATAAAGAAGAACTTTATATCCTATATGGACAGCAACATATTTTGCCAAGTATGGACTTGTCTCTAGCTCTGAGAATACAGACTCATACTATATTTGTATCTGTTTTTAATATTTAAATTGTTTTTCCAGTGTACAAATTAGTAATATATATTTTCTAGTATTTGTGGCAGAGTCTTCACCATTCATGGAAGTTAACTATGAGCACTTGATAGACGTGTACTAATGAGGTGATGGTATCAGATTAGGCAGTGATGGCACAAAACAGTTAGGGCCTTTTTGAAGCAGTGGTGTGTAGGATAAGCTGCAAAGGAAATGGCTGACAAAAGGGAATTGCCTGGGTCATGGATTAGCAATGCTTCGGACAAATGATCTTTCAAAATGTTGAGTAGTTTGTGTGCCTTCCACACAGAGCAATCAAATCACAGCACTGGAGATAAGCTATGGGTTTTTGTTCTGTCTTCCCCTCTTTCCCTGTTTCTTTTTCTTCTCCTTTTTTTTGAGGTAGAGGATCTACCTGTGTAACTACTCATACTTACCATACCTAATCATACCTACCTCTTTCTTCCAAGTACTAGGATAACAACTGTGTGTCACTGCACCAAGCTGTTTGTTTGCAGGATGCCATCTAGATGATTTAAAAGTATGTATTTATTATCATTATATATACAATATAAACATTGCCATTTTAACACTATTATATGCAGAATTTCAAGAAGAGGTTCCTTTAGGTGTTACCTAAAGAAACAAGTGAAGGATTATTTGTTCATTGAGGAAGCAGATAGGTTTTGGAACAATGGAGAAAGTGGTTGGTTATTCTTATAACATTCATGTCACTATCACACCAGTGGGCGTATCTTGCAAGGCCAAGAAGTATTGCAGTCTCATAGCTGTGCAAAACTGCTGAATTTTTGTTCTTCCCCAGTAGCATATATAGAACATTCCAGAACTATAAAAGCTATCCTATAGGGATGAAGCTTCCTGATCAGAACTAGCTTGATTTATTTGTGTCTATTTGAAAGTCTATGGGAACCCACTGTCCAACAGCACACACCTGGAAATGGGTTTTGTTTATTTGTTATTGTTGTTTGTTTGACAGCCTATGCTATCTGGGAAAGGCACTTTCCCCATTATAGGGTAACTCTATTTAAATAATTTCCTTATAAATATGTATGTATGTTTTAGAAAGCTCCTAAAGGAGCAAGTTCCCACAAGATTTTTCAAAGTCATTAGTGTTAGTTGTCTATTGTATGCCCTCCTTTCTCTCCTCCTTCCATTCCCACCCTACTTATACATCACCGAAAGTATAAGATACAATGAAACAGATACTCCCAATGTGTTTCCTTAGGACAGAGTATAAATGTCATGATCAGAGTATCAGACTTATTCACATCTTATCATGAACCAGCCTAAATTTATCAAAAGTCAATCAAAACATTTCCCTTACAGAATTCTGGACATATTGTTTTATCAAGTGACATAATCAGCAGAACAAATCCAAAACACAGCATGAATAATATTTTAATCATTAAATTGATGTATCTAATTAATTGGAAAGAAGTTACCTACTAGTAACTTTGTAGATATTTGCAACCATGTCCAAATTTAGAAAAATTGATGTAAACAGTGAATAAAGGAACAGTAAAAATGAAATGTCACACTACTCCTTGGTGATGCCTACAAGCTCTAGGGTGATTTGCAAATGATAAATAAATAAATGTATCAGCCTAAGTGCCAATCAATGTAGTACATTTTTGGTGCTTAGAGATAACTCTTAAAAGATGAGCAGTTGCTCCTGTTACATGAGGCTTACTCCCTGTTGCAAAAATTACTCAGAGAACTTGGTTAATATTGAACTTCTACAGTGTTCTTACTACAATAAGCAACTATAGCTTCATTGAAGAAGCAGTGGCTCTCAACATGTAGGTCATGACCCCTACAGGGGCTGCATACCTGATAACCTGTATATTAGACATTTACATTGTGATCAGTATAACAGTAGCAAAATGACAGTTATGAAGTAGCAACAAAATAATTTTATGTTTCGGGTCACCACAACATGAGTAACTTATTAAAGCATCAAGGTTGAGAACCACTGGGAGAATTTCATACAGGTGAGCTGTATCAATGAGCTTTCTTCAGAAAGGCTAGTAAAAAGAGAAATGCAAACTGTACTCTAGGAGAGCTTTGATTTGAGAGAAAGCAATGGGGGAAACTGATCAACTTCTTTAAGTAATAACAGAAACAAATTAGAGGACTTGGTGGGCAAAAGGGTGTCATGTTAATGTTTATTAGAGGGTGGTAACGTGGTGTCTTGATAAAGAAGAATGAAAAGAGAAGTTGACAACTAGTGTAGGGATCTACTCTAGGCCATTCTGGAATTGGGACACATTTTAATGGGGATGCACTGTCATTGTAAACACTCAACACTGTGGTAGTGGGTAGTAGGGAGGTTTTAGCACTTCCTTGTGTCCCACAGTTATAACACATAGGTACCTTAATCAGGTTGCTTGACTTTTAAACTTGAAAGGTTCCAACCCACATGCATGTGACCCCTTCTGCTTTTGAGTAAGTGTAGAGAATCAGACAGCTTACTCAATTCTATTCAAGCTATTGCAGAACTTCTGAGCACGCAAGCGTATAGAAGGTAGACTACAGAAATATGACTGAGGACTCTCAGCTTCAACCACTATGTGTATCCAGTGTATCATGGGCTCAGCTCAGCTTCACTGTTCATCAGATCTGTGGAGCAACCGTGAATGCTATGAACACTAAAGATTCATAGCTGTCTTTGACAGTGTGTGGTATCCCTCACAAGAGACAGGAAACATGGCAAGTTTGCTTTTAAGCAAAAGACTATCTAAAAATGTTTCAGAAGTGTCATAAAAAGTAAACAGATGAATGCAGAAATTATTGTTGGTTTTGGGTGATGCCCTAAAGAGAAGAAACCTTCTTTTATTGAACAGATTGCAGAAGTTTAATATGCCAGTCATGTAGATGACTGGCAAATATGTGCTTTAGAGTGATTAATCACCTGAAACATAGCCATAGGCTGGCTGTACTGCACAGAGCTGCTTAATATTCTGCTTTCATTGTAGATTCTGGATGTGGAGGGCCTCTAGTGGCTGCTGCCAGCCTCATTAAGAGAAAAGTCAACAACTGCCATGTCATCTGAAAAGTTGTTTGTTTTTTTTTCAGAGTTTAAAATGGAAGAGTTCTAAGTTGGTCTCCCTTTTGTGGCCATTAGGAAGCTGTGTAGTGACTATCTGGTAAGCCAAGTCTATAAGAAGAAAACAGCATTGCTGGCTGTCCGTGACAACCTGCCTGTGATATTGAATTAGTACAAGATGTTCCATGATGAAAATAAGAGAGGTGGACAAATACTCTATTCCAGGAAATACAATTTACCTGCCTCTCAGCACCCACTTTAAGATGCCAGGTGGATATTTTGCCAAATTTGAGAACATGTAGTCCACTTAGTTGCAAACCCCATTTGCTTCTCATTGATCACCCACCCACTTAGAGAAGTTCCATAAATGCAGATACCAAATAACAATACCGGAGTTGGTGGGAGAGCAAAATGTACCAAACTGCTTATTTGTTTGACTCCTACTTTGGATTAGAGAGGGAGGGTGGAGGTGCATTCTGTTGATTGGAACTTCAGCCAGACGTCTTATGGGACCTATCTGACTCTGTCAGGAAACCTCCATAGTGAAACTGTACAGTGAAAGAGACTTGCCTGTCCTGCTTCATACCATGCCTTCTATGTCTCCTACAGTAAAGGTTTCCAAAGCACTTTTTTCCAACTAGGTAATGAAAAAAATTAAAGCTATTTTGTTTCCCAGGCTAGTTGTGTTCCAAATGTCATGGAATGGTGCATCTAAAACATTCTTGGACTTTTAACCATTATCTTATGTTAGTATGTCAGCTGGTATTGTCATTGTTCTGGTCTTATTTAGACAATCATACTTTTTTATTTATGTGTTTTTTTAGGTTTTCTGGTTGTGGCTTCCCTGTCGTGTGTAGAAGACACTATCTTGCAGCAGATACCTTGGTCCTCTGGCTCTTATACTCATTGTTTCCTCTTCCACAACGTTCCCTGAGTCTTAGGTGTAGGGGTTGTATGTGTCAATTAGGGTTGGGCATTTCATAGTCAGTTGCTATCTACATTTGACCCTTTGCATATTTCTATAACAGTCTCCATCTGCTGCAGAGAGAAATTTCTTTGGTTAGGGGCCAGGGCTATACTTACCTGTAGTTATAAGGATAAGCTTTTAGAGTGCAATTAGAAATTATTTGTTTACAAAATCATATTTGTTTAGGAAAGTGGTGGTAGCATGTTCTCTTCTAGGGGCTGTATTCTCACCAGTCAAAAGCAATTAATTGGCTGGGTTACAACCTCAGGTATGAATTCTCTCCTATTGATCAGGCCTTAATTCTAATTAGACAGCTTTTGGTTACCATTAATATAGAAGTACCACTATTGCATGATGGGGCTATCTTGCCATGCTAGTCATTGTTGTGGCTTGCGATTAGGACTATTGATTACCTTTTCCCCTTTCTACTGGTGTTAGAGGGATGATAGTAGCATAACATAGGATAAAAGTGATAAAATAAAATTTAAGAATTTTTTATGAATACATGTTTGTTTGTATATTTTATGTTGGGAAGTTCCCATGGATGTCAGACGGTGTTTCAGATCACATTGAGGTTGAGTTATAGATACTTGAAAGCTATCTGATGTGGGTCCTGGTAGGTGAATTAGGGTCCTCTAGAAGAGTAGCAAAGACTCTTAACTTCAGAAGCATTTATCAACCCCCCAACCTGAAATATGACTAAGAACAGATATCTCCTCTATTTTTTGAGTTTAAAAGACAGAAACATAACTAAAGGTCTGCAAAGTGGTGTTCCATTTAGCTTTTCCTAGTAGTCAAATAATGATATTTGAAAGTAATGAAAAGACAATTATATGTGTAGGAAATAAACATTAATTCTCTTGTAGGTAGTTACTGGAGGTTGTGGTTCAACCTGTCAAAAGAAAATTAGAGAAATAAATAAATATAAGTTAGATGTGGTACCCAGGATATAATGCCTCTAACCCAAGAAAACAATTAGGAAATCTCCCACATGCAGCAGGTGCCAAGATCAATTATTCTAGCTAGAAGCAATGGTTGAAAGGTGTCAGATGAGAAGAAATGGATACAGGACAAGAATAAAAATGAAAAACATCAATTTCAGGAAAAGTATAGGATACACAGCAGAAAGGAACTGTACTCGTGATTATTTTTCTACAGTAAGCAGCGCAGTAATCTAGTAAAACAAATTCTTTACATTAATATTCAATCTATGTACAAAGTATAGAATATTGTGATTACAAAATAGCCTGTGAAGGCTGAAAAGTAAAAGATAATTGGATAATAATGGGAAAAAAGAGGAGGGAGGGAGAGAAAGGGGTTAGGTCAGGGTTCAGTACATGCTGACAATTTGTACTGCATGAGGGCTAAGAATCAACACTTGGGAAACAAGATGGGATCTTTTTCTGTGACCAGAGCTGTTAGTCATGCCCACATGGCCTGTGACCCTTTCAAGAACATCTGCTCCTAATTTATGCAAATATGTTCTCTGTACTCGTAGCTGGTCTTAGGTGAGAATGACCTAAGGACACTTCACTTAAAAATGTAGAAAATCATCATTTAGTGGTGAAAATAAGGAGCGAAGGTATGTTATTTAATGTTACAATGGTAAGCAGTAGAAAAAAGATCTAATTGTTGAAGGACATGGAGAAGAGATTATGGGTATTAGTCCAAGTGAAATATCATCTCATCTACTGTATTAAAGGCCAATAAGTCATAGAATAAGAATATTAAAAAGACAAGTGACAGTGTCTATGAAATACTTAAAACAGAAGTTACTGTTGTAAGAAAGTGAAATGGGGCTGAACACATTCAATACTGATCATTTCTGCATTTTTAGTGTAAGTAATTTTAAATAACTTGATTTTTTAAATGACTTTAAATTTATAATTTCTTAAACAGACATTTTAAAGCATTACAAGATATGCTTTTTACCCCATCCATTTCCTCTGCCAGAAACCCCAGATCTCTGTATTGCTGTATTTTAAGTCTATAAAGTCTAGAGATTAGATGATAAAGAAAGAGATGTAACAGAGTCACATACTACCTCACAAATTTATATCAGGAAAACATACAAAACTCAGGGGACTTTAGAGGCAGGGAAACTTGAAAGAAAGAATACTTGTTAAAGAAAAGCACTGTAAAGAACTGGATGAAAAAAATAACAGGAAATTCATATTTTTACTGTGTGATTATTCATATTTTAGAGTACTGAGTCTTTCTTGTGGGACAGGCATGTGGTACTAAATAATTTATGGAGATATGATTCCTATGTTTAATGAACTTCACTGCACTGTAAGAGCTCAAAGGTAGAGGATATCTGATGGAACAAATTAGCATCATATCAATACTTAAAGTCAAGGAGGTAATGGGATTAGATGAGTACATAGTGCTTAAATATCTCAATAAACTCAAAATGCATTTCTTTACATTGTACACATTATATCTGATGATGTCACGGGAAGTAACCATCACAATAATCCTGAAAATAATAATAGACAGTTAAGGTTTCCATGCCAGTAATATCTACTGACATATTGAACAGTCTCTCTAAACCAAAGTCAAAATGATAGAAATTACTCTCCTCTGATATATAAACTGAATCTGACTGAACCAAAAATTATGTCTATATCTGATGGTTAATCATCATATGTACTCTATTTATCATAATCTTGAATCATTTTGGTAACTGTTTCAGAGAGAAATTGGTAGGATAGGGTTAGCATCCCTATTAATTGTTTTCTTAATTGAGTTAAGTAATATGACAAGTGTCTTAGTTAGGGTTTTTATTGCTGTGAAGTGACACTGTAACCACTGAAACTCTTATAAATGAGACATTTTTAAAATTTGTATTTAAGTTAAAAACAATCTTATTTTATAGACCAATCCCAGTTCCCTCTCCCTCCCTTTCTTCCATTCCGCCATCACCCCCCCCCCATCCCATTCCCCATCCACTCCTCAAGGAGGGTGAGGCATGTCATATCATTTGGGGGCAGGACTTACCCCTTGTATCTAGGCTGAGAGTATCCCTCCTTAGGGAATGGGCTCCCAAAGCCCATCCATGCCTAGGGATAAATATTTGTTCTAATGTAAGAGGTCCCATAGACTGCCCAAGCCCCCCAACTAACACCCATATTCAAGGGGCTTTGTTTGGTCTTGTGCTGGTTCCCCAGCTGTCAGACTGGGGTTTGCAAGCTCCTACTTACTTAGGTCAGCTGTTTCTGTGGGTTTCCCCAGCATGGTCTTGACCCCTTTGCTCATCACTCCTCCCACTATACAACTGGATTCCAGGAGTTCAGCTCAGTGTTCATCTGTCAATCTCTGCTTTCACTTCCATCAGCTACTGGATGAAGGTTCTAAGACAGCATTTAATGTAGTCATCAATCTCATTTAGGGGAAGGGCATTTAAGGATTCTTAGTTGGGATCATCCTTGTGGATTCCTGGAGATTTCACTAGTGCCAGGTTTCTCCTTAAGCCCATAATGGCTCCTTCTATTAAGGTATCTTAAAGAAAAACATTTAATCGAGGGTGGCTCACCTACAGTGCAGAGGTTCAGTCCATTGTGACCACAGAGAGGGGCATGGCAATGAATAGACAGACATGGTGCTGGAACCGAGAGTGCTACATCTTTCAGGCATCAGGAATTGGACTGACACACTGGGCCATATCCTGAGCATAAGATGCCTCAAAACACGTCCCCACAGTGACACACTTCCTCTAACAAAGCCATACCCTCTCCAACAAAGCCACACCTCCTAATAACGCCACTCCCTATGAGATTCTGGGGGTCAAATACATTCAAACTACCTATTCCATTCCCTGGCCCTGAAAGGCCCTGAATGTGGATGGCATAATTTCATGGGCTGAGTGTTAGACCAAATGAAAAGGGGAGACCCAGATGGGTACAAGTAGGTATGCATTAATTCTCTGTCTGCCCTAACTATGCATGTAACCATCTACTTCAAGTTTCTACCTACTTGATTCCTCTACAATGAAGTGTACCCTGGAAGTGTAAGTCAAAACAAAATCTTTGTTCCCTAATTTGTTTTGTCATGTAATCAGAAAGGAAACTAACCAGGCCCAAGAGACAGCAGATGACTGGGTTGTCTTCTTGTTTTAGATCGTGGAGCTCAACATACTACATATTGCAATCATATGAAGTAAAACCTCATTTTTCAGGGATATAATTAAACATTTAATAGAGAAAATTAGTAAGCAGCAAAATCAGGTCACACAGTCAGGGAAACTCATTGTCATCTGCATCCTGTGTTCTAATCTAGATGCTTCAACCATACCACGCACACACACACACACACACACACACACACACACACACACACACACACACCAAAACTTCTTAAGGCAAACAAATAATATCCTAAGACATAACTGTTAATAGTTTAACAAATCATGTGGCTTAATTATAAGAGAAGAGAAAAATCCCCTAAAAATTTTAGACAGTTCTCCTATATTTAGTAATGCCAACGGTGGCCAATTTCTAATTACTAAAGTCTTGGGATTATACTGAAGAATGCCTTGGGATTATAGCCTCTTTCAGTAAATGCCAGCTCCTCAAACTTAGAATGTAATTTTTAAAAGTAGCAGATTTTTAGAAACAACAGTATTCCACAAAGTAAGCTTCATAAAGGTAAGAATGTTAGTTGCTGTTGTTCACTGCTCTGCCCAAAATCATGCCTTGTGAGAGGCCCAATACCAAGCGAATAATTAAATTCCACATTGCTTCTCCTGAAGTGTTTAAGTTACAAGCATTATTTAGAAGCATATCATTAGACTGTGATCATATTAATTCAACAACAGCTAAAAACAGGTTTGAAATGCATGGTACTATCCTTGGGAATTCTAGGGTTTAAAAGAAAATAAGGTTAGAAATTTTTTATTTTATTATTTTAATTTTAAATAGCTTGTTTCACATGTCAAGGGGTTAGAAATTTTAATTTTGCTGCGGGATAGCCATTTTTCAATAAGTTTGTAGACATTTTCAGAATTCGTTCCTGAAGCCAAATTCTTGGCATCTCAGCACACCAGAAGGGACAAGAGGCACACACATAAAAGTCAACACCAGGTTGAAAAGAATGCAAAACAGCAATCCAGCCAGTAGGAATGCTTTTGAGTCCATTCCAAAATAGCTTGGCTCATCTTGGTTGAGCTGCATCCTTTCAACTGCAGGGGAATCTCTCTGCTCCCAGGGACTGGGTGGTTCATAAAAGTATTCAAACACAGTAAATATGAACACGGTGTCTGACCTAACAGAAGACCAGTAGCTGAAGCTACTGTTGCCTTTATACTGACATCATTTTAGTGGCCCTCCTAATAATCACGCTCAGGTAGGTGGACCTCTTCAACTCCGCCCTTCCACCATTTAACTCTGTTTCAGTAGTGCAGGTGGGCAAGGAATGGCAAATGCCTCATCTTCTTTCCTCTCATAAACCCAAGAAGTCCGCAAAAACACATTTTTAAACTTGCTTTGAGCTCTGTGTTTACAGGGCCAAGATGACACAAGGAAGAGTAACAGATACTGGCTGTGCCTGTGACTGGTATATGTGCAGTACGCCCAACAGACACAAAACCATGTCTACAAAATGATCAATCATTTGTAAGTGGTGGACTTCACTCTCCATCCTCTTCATTCCAAACCTGTGTCTCTAAAGTGATCAATCTAAGTAGTAAGAATAGACTTCACCCACCCACACACACATATTCTTCATGTTTATGATTTTCTTAATCAATGAAGAACTTAGGTAAGGAAGGAACTGATACATAAGCCCCTAAACTCAACAATATCTCAAAAATGTACCAAAGATGAATCAGTAAGACTGGCACCATCTGTGTTGCCAGTCAGAGCCACAACATTAAATAACTAAGCATGACAATTTTATTCTATTTTTCTATTTCTCTTCTTCATTTCTATGTATTAACTATGTTCTTTCCATTATTGGTGCACACATGGGTATATATATATATATATATATATATATACATATTACAACTATATGTATATGTGTAATAATCCTATATGTGTATATATACACAACAGAACACTTCAAATAAACAAAAGGAGGAAGGAGGATGCACTTACCATTCAACTTCCATAGTTAAACAAAAATTCCCCACCTTCCCTACTAATCACGTCACTAACACCTTATCTCTGTCTGTGATCTACAAAACTGTTTATCAGAAGTACAGAGGCCAGAAAAATATATTTTTGGCACAGTCACTTACCTACCCAAAATACACATTCTCTCTGTTCTCAGGAAGCTTCCTCTATAGAACAGAGGAGAGAAGGAGGCTTCAGGACCACCAATGCGGATTTTATCACTAACAATATTTGTAATACCTTTTCCTGTATAACCTGGGGTTTTAGGTAGCTTGTTCTGCTATTCCTCATGGTTTGGAATTGTCTTGAGATCAGTAGAGAGCTGTCATAAGCACCATTCACAGCTCTCCAATGAAGACCTCTTGCTAACCCTTCCTTATAGACATGAGAATACAGGTCTGCTAAAGTGCCATTAGGCTCAAATGATACATGAAGAAGAATAGACAGGACTGAAATCAGGCTGTGGAACTTCTAAGTCCTTGTTCCTATTCTCTCTTGCTCCAGGGAAGTTCCTGTGACATCTGAGTGAATGCTACTGTATGAAGGATGAATAGAAACAAGGTGACAAGGTAGGCAGTTAGACACATGCCATCCCCTCCTAAGTGGAGAAAGCCAATGGAAGAAGTGGAGAGAGACATACAGTCTCAACTTATTGAGCAAGTGAAGAAGTACACAAGAAACAAGCCAGGATATTATCAGAGCCTCGCCAAATTTCTATCAAACAGTATTTTTATTAATTATCCATGAATCAAGTGGTGGGATTTTACATTAACTATACTAATGGTGTGCTGTAGCTACAAAATGTTATTCCCAATTATGTTGAAGCCCCACAATTTCTCCTAAATGCTTTTTAGCCCCTGTGGTAAAAGTGAGTAATTGCCTTTTAGAGAGGAATCTGGCATTTGTGCTGAAGAGTTAGAGGTGGCAAAGAGATGGAAATGGAAGAAAAAGGGAACAAAGAGAGAAAGTGGAGGAGTAGAAAGGAAGCCTTTAAAATGCCGTGAGATGACTCGATGTGTAAGAGCACTTGCTCTGCAAGCATGAGGACCTGAGTTCTAATCCCCACACCATGTAGGAAGCCAGGCATGGCTGCACCTGCCTATGACTCCAGGGTTGCCCAACAAAGACAGGTGTGTTCTGGTAGTTCACTGGAGAGCCAACATAGCTAAAATGAAGACAGACCCTGTCCCAAGGCAATGAGGTAAAATGAGACAGACACCCCGTGTCCTGCTCTGATCTCCACATGTTCATACACCCACAAACTCAAGAACATCACACGCACACACACACACACACACACACACCATAAAAACACAAAATCAGAAATCACAATATACAAGCAAAGACTGGTAAGTCAAAAATAAAAGCAAGCAAACAAACAAAAAACCCACAAAACCCCACCCAAACAAACATAGCAACATGAGACAAAAAATAAATCTACAAAACCATCCTTGAGTTCATTTTGTGTCAGCCACTACTGCTGGGCATGGGGCCTACCCTACACAGCCAAATACTAACATTGCTCACTTTATTTCACAGAACCCCTCCTAATAAAATTTGGTATGGTTATAAATAACATATTTTTACTGTGTGTGACCCTTGAAAATACTAAATGTAACATTTTAGGTAAGAAAAAAAATGTGTCAACCAGGATATAGGAAGCTAAGACATACAGAATCCACATTAAGAGATTTAATCAGGGAATGTCAAACTTCCTCAGATAAGATTTTATAGGAGCCAAAATTTGCATGGCAAATGATGCCACAGTTTTACTTCAGAGGAGGGCAGAAGACTTTTAAAACTACATTCTAACAGAACTATGAAAATGTCTTTAGTTCTGGGGTGGAAAGCACAAAGGAAACCATGCATCTTTCAGAATGACTTAACAAGTCCATGCTAAGAAAATTCTGGCTGGGATATGCATATTGTAAAGATTTCTAAAATCCCCATTGTAAGACTTCCTCCCAAGGGCTTGACTGACACTGTCATTTCAATCTTGGTGACTGAGAAACAAAAAGAAATAAAATCCATTAGCACTTCAGGTGCCAGTCACTATCACCTCGGGTACCAGTCACTTGGTCATTTTCATTTGTAAATATGGTAACTAAAGGCTATGGAGAATGACTTTAAAATGTAAATGCTATATAAATTCAGACACACCCTATTCCAGAGATACTTGCTCATTAGTGATCATTGCTACTTTGTCCCCCAAAGCCAGGAAATGAAAACAACCTAGATGGCTATCAACTGATGAGTAGAAAATGGAAATGTGATTCGTGGACACAATGGAATACCATTCAGCTGTTTAGAAAACATGAAATTTGCAGGTAAATGGATGGAGGTGGATATAAGCATCCCGAGTGAGGTAATAGAGAACCAAAAGACAAAAGTTAATGTAACTTGAAAAACACTATTAATAATTTATAGTACCTATTTACAGAAAGCAGGCATGGAATCAGCTACATTGCTTGCCCTTGGGTATGTATTAAGTAATGAGTGTCACAGTCAAAAACCTAACATACATTCAAATATTTTTTGCATACTGTTTTCCTTTTGGAAGACATATTTGACTTTTAAACAACACCCTGCAGTAAATTCAAATACTTGAATCTCTAGTTCTTCTGTCTGCTTTTGAGTTTGTATTCTCCCAAGGAGAGCTAGGTCACCTAGTCCTATTTTCCAAAGGTAGAACACCGAGAGATGACCTCTAACTGAAACTAATCATGTATCTTCTCTAGTTTAAAACTTCATAATGAAATTCTAATCACTGGTTTCGTTCTTGGGGTGAACTCTGTGGGGGGTAATGGGAAAAGTGGAACAAACCTGGACAAAACCAAAGAAAAATAGGGCCATTTCTTCATTTAACTCTAGTTAGATGAAGCTCAGAGCAACTAAAAAGTCTAAAAATGCTCCAGGAAGTCATATCCAGTCGTCACTTCACACAACACTCGGAATTTGTCTATGCTATTATTTCAGTCAGTGGTTTGTTCTATTTTATGTAGGTTGATCAGCTTTCTAGTCCACTTAGCAGGTGGTGGATGCTGAGGTCTCGGCAGTTGCCATCTGGAAGGTTCATGTGCTGGAGACCGCTCTCCAGCAAGGTGGCATGGAGATATGAGAGCCTATGAGAGGAGGGGCTTATCATAAGATGATTAGGTCAGGGTGGCCCTGCCTCACAGGGGCTTGAGATGGTCTCATGAAGTGAATTAGACCTTGTGAAAATAAGTTGTTACAAAGCAAGGCCACCCTGCGGGCTTGTCCCATCACCATGTGCTTTTCTTCCATTCTGTGTTGCATCCAGGAGGGGTCACCAGAATCTGAACAGATGGGATCCCTCCATGTCAGACTTTCAGCTCTAGAACTCTGAGCTAAATAAATGTTTTTCCATAAAAAGTACCCAGCATCAGATATCATTCTAAAGCAACAACATGAATGGTAGATATTTGAGATACTTTAAGTATTTGACTTCTGTAAACCAAGTGTCTAAATGTATTCACATACAATGAATCTCCTTTTTTGTTTTTGTTTTGTTTTGTTTTGTTTTTGGTAAACCTTTTGTTGCATCTTATGGTAAATGTATGCTAAACTTCATAAGAAGCTAGTACCAAGTCCTTCTCAAATTTGACGTCTTGGAGAGATAGCTCAGCCATTAAAGGCTAGGCTCACTATCCAAAAGTCCCACTTGTGCATCCTTGCAATGTGCAGAGACCCAGTTCAGCAGCCTTGCCAAGTCTTGTTGTGCAGTGATTTGAACTTGCTCCATTCAAGAAGCCACTCAAATAGTAACTTATTTGAAACTGTATTCCCTAGTGAATAAGATTGTTGAGGGGTTCTTTGCATGCTTATTTGACACATGAGTGTTTTGTATGATGAGCATTTCTTTATGTAACTTTGCCATTTCCACTGGGGCTGTCATCCTTTTAAGAGCTCTAAGTGTTGATATAAATTTAACATACTGTCTTCCATCAGACAGATACACGACAGTTACTTTCTCCAACCCTTTGGCTTGTGTTACAAGATTTGGCTCTATTCTACTACATTAAAAGAAAATGCAGTTTTTCTCTAATAAAATTGTCCCGGAGCTAAGACAAAACAAAAGCCACCAATAAAGAGTTCCACAGAGCATCGGTTCCACAGGGACGTCTAAGGCTGCTGCGGAGCTGCGTGAGAGCAGAGTAGTGTTGATATCTTCCCCTCAACGGCCAGCCCTGTATACCTGAGTCTGCCTCTCCTCCCACCTGCTTGTGTCATTCTGCTGGTCCATCTGTTTATCTCTCCATCACTGTATTATTTTAAAATATTAAATATTGCATAAGGTTCCTCCTCATCCCCTTTCTCTTCTTACGTTTGGTTTGGCAAAATATTTATTATCATTGTAACATAAGAGATTGTGATAGCTATTATTACATAACCATGACCTTATTTTTCTCAACTTTTATGAAAGTGCTTATACGAACCTAATGGTAGTTTATCCAAACTGGACATCTGAACTGTTTCATTCTTCTGCTAATAGTGTTCACATATAATAAGCAAATCAAAATGACTGGGTTCTCATAATACTTGTATTTAACATTTTTATCCAGTGACTTAAGTAAATCAGGAAGGACTCCACGGATAGCTGTTTTATACTTTCTCAGCAACTATCATGTGTACTCAAATTCTTGTCAAGTGAGGACAGGAATTCAGTGGGCTACAAATTGGTGGGATGAGTAAATGCAGTACATATTTTGTTAGAGTCCAATTTTGATTTCGCAGTTTTAGATTTCTGTGTTTTAGAGTCAGCGTTTCTTTTCTTTATTTGTGAAACTCTAAGGAAGTTCCTAGTCTTTAGACTCTATACCTAAATATAAAAAGGCAAAAGGAAACAATGTTTCCCTCCTCTGTGCAGGTATAGGGCAGAATAAAAGTCAGTGGAATATCAAGAATGTCACTGGTCTCATGAAGACTGCCTCTGCTGTCTGTCCCAGTCTTCTGAAAGGGCTAAAGAGAACCAAGAAACAGCTGGAATTGTGATCTGGCTCACGGGAGGTGGAATGAGTCAGAATAAGCTGAGCATGTAAGTGCAGTTATCATAGGAAATAGAAACACATGTGTGTGGTATGATCATGTAACTGCAAGATAAAGACATGCTCTGGCAATATTCCCATAGAAGTGTTAGTTGGGCATGATACAAGAGGCTTCACCTCCACAGTAGATGGTCCCATGCTGATCATACCCCCACTACTAGACTGGAAATAGGCAGAAGCTACTATTGGATTAATATTTATAGGAATGAATTTGGCAGCACAATCTCCTACACTATAAATACCAACAACTTACTGAAGCCTTCTCCTTCTTCACACACTCAACAAGTTAAAGACAACTAAACATAATGAGATTTTGAGAATATGAATTTCATTGTTCTATACCAAGAAGTTTTGATTTAGTCTGCAGGAAACCTCAAAAACCTAAGTAAGTGTCTTGGAAGACAGTTAGAAATAGTTAATGGTGATAAGCTGGTGTTTTTCACATTATGAATAAAGATTTTATGTAGGTTTCCAAATGCAAATGGGAAATTATGAATAGCTGGGGTTTAATAAAATCCATTTCTTTTGAAGAATTCTTGTTAAGATTCCTCCTGCTTTATGGGATTAGTAAGAGAAAGGGAGCCAGGGCCTTGCATGATGATCAATAGGGCTGGGCACACAGCATACAGAGGTGAGTGCACAGGGCACACGAGGAGCTTCTTAATAAACAATTCAGACTCTCATTTAAAAAACCAGTCATTTCTCATTTTACACACCAATTCCAGTTCCTCTCCATCCTCTCCACTTGCTCTCCCCACCATTCCCCCACCCTACCCCATCCACTCCTCAGAGATTGTAAAGCTTCCCATGGGGAGTCAACAAAGTCTGGCACATCACTTTGAGGCAGGACCAAGGTCGACCCTCCTATATCTAGGCCGAGTAAGTTATCCTCCCACAGGGAATGGGCTCCAAAAAGTCAGTTCAAGCACTAGGGATAAATTCTGGTCCCACTGCCACTGGTCCCAGCCACATAAGTGTTACCCACACTCAGGGCCTAGTTTGGTCCTATGCATGTCTCTCTGCTGTCAGTCCAGAGTCAGAGATCTCCCACTAGCTCAGGTCAGCTATTTCTGTGGGTAACCCTAAAGTGGTCTTGGCACCTTTGCTCATATCATCATACCTCCCTCTCTTTGATTGGACTCTGGGTGCCCAGTCCAGTGCTTAGCTGTGGATCTCGGCATCTGCCCCCATCAGTTGCTGGATGAAGGTTCTATGATGATAATTAAGGTAGTCATCAATCTGATTACATGGGAAGGCCGATTCAAACACCCTCCCCATTAATGCTTAGAGTCTTAGGGAAATTCCCAGGAATTGACAAGGATGACTCCATTTAAGACTCTTAAGACAGCTACAGAACAGCATTAGGCAAAATGCTGAGTGCTGATCATGAGACAGCACAGCTGCAAGGGGGCCCCCATAGGAACTGGAGATCAGAGAAGACGCTGCAGATGGACATACTTTCCATGAAATTATCAGTGTCAAAAATGCAATTGCATTAAATTGCTTGCAAGATTTTAGGTTCAATTGTTTAGCTAAGACAATGCAAAACACAGAATATTATCATCAGCTCTAAACTTTTCTCTAGTACTTTTTTAAACAGCTGTGTATTATAGTATCTACTAGGGTTGGGGCATTACGTATGTCCTTCCTACAAGCCTACAGAAGAAAGGGTCAGTACTCAGACTCTATATCCTTTAGAATAGTCACTGCTAACTCATGCCTTAGTAAAGGAAATGTATGTGTCACAGCACAAATGTAGAGGTCAGAAGACAATTGGGACAGGGCTATACTCTTCTTCCACCAGTGGGTTTTGAGTTTTGAGGCTCAAAGCTGGGTCATCATACATACATACACACACACACACACACACACACACACACACACACACACACATGTACATATAGTTATATATAATAGCAACTGTTAAAAGAAAAGAGTTACACATATGCATCCAAGTATATACTCACAGACACATATATATACACGAGTACATATCGAGGCTAAAGTGAACAAAATGAAAAAGTAAACACTTGGACCTGTCAATATTTTTGAGAGGTCCAAGCACAGAATTTAGTTTTTTTATATTCTAATACTATTACTAGCCAGGGAGACAAGGCTATTATTAGAAAAATAAATATTAGAAAATATTTGGATATATTTGATTATTACTCAAAATCTGGGGAATACAGAAAGAACACAAAGTCTGCAGGAAGAGGCCTTATAAGGCTAGTGGTGATATTTGAACTTCAAGCAATTACAATAGATGATGTGCTGTGTTTGAACAAGGTTGCCTGTGAAAGTTGATGACTATGTAGTGACACTCCAAAAAATGGTTTGCATAAACCTTGTTAAGAGAATAGAAGAAAAGTAATTAAGAATATCTTAAGTTTTATGCTTATTCTTCAAAGGTGTAGAAAATACTATATATGGTGTTTAGCTTCTTACTTATTTATGGGTCTGCTGTATACCTGCTTATAAAATATAAACTTTATTTTTCTTTCTTCTGTGTATAATAGAAAGAATAAAAATAAAATCCCAAAAGCCAAGAACTACAGGGGAAACACACACACACACATTAATGCACACATACACACACACCCATATACACACAGATGTACACATGGACACGCACACGTGTGCATACACACATACACATACACACACACACACACACACACCACAGTAAAAAAAATAGAACAAAACAAAACAAATGGAACCTATACTACAGCTTCAGGAAGGGAGAAGTGCTACCTGTGAATCAACAACAACAAAATTAATTGGCAAGGGAATTACAGTATGGCAGTCACTTCCACAAACAAGCAGTTAGAGAGGGTGGCTATTATGGTTCCTGCAGAATTAATGAGCTGCTTCTCTTAATGAGCAGTGCTGACTACCTAGAGCTAACCCTGTGCTCCCTGGGACATGGAGTCCCTGAATGGCACCACTGTTGCAATGATAACAAAATTCTAACAAACAATACATCAGTTTTTAATAATACTTATCCACCAGGTCAACATATCATGATGACAAGACTGCAGGTTGTGTAATGCTGGCGAAGTGAGTGCTGAAAAATACAATATGTCTGAGGTAAGACAACAGGAGACAAAATAATGACAATAATATTCACATAATAAGCAAGGACAGAAAGTGAGTTGGCAAAATAGCAAATAAAATATGGCGCCATTCAAAAAGAAACCTCACTGGGAAAGTAGTCAAGTTATTTGTCCCATCTATTAATAATGATAAATAAGAATAAATCCCTTGGTTGATCTGAGAAATGTACATTTTTCTTTTGGATATGGTATTATTACTTCATCCCCAAAAGTTACCAAAATAGTATTACTGTAGCTCTTGCTATATGTCAAAAGTAATATAGCAAATTCCATAAAAGATACTAACAGAGTATAAAACATTGAAATAATTTAACAGTATTGAGCTATAGAATTTTATTGAGAGTTAGCAAGTTAACAAACATGCTGTGTGTGTGTGTGTGTGCACGTGCGCGTGCGTGCGCACGCGTGTGCTTGTGTTTTTATTTTAGGGTTTTCGAACAATTCAAAGAAATTAATCACAGAAATGTGCACTTCAGTTTAAAATTAAGGAAACTTTTTTTTTTGGTTTTTCGAGACAGGGTTTCTCTGTATTGTTTTGGAGGCTGTCCTGGAACTTGATCCATAGACCAGGCTGGCCTCGAACTCACAGACATCCGCCTGCTTCTCCCTCCCAAGTGCTAGGATTAAAAGCATGTGCCTGGGCTAAAATTAAGGAAACTTTAATCATCCATATATTGTTTGCATTTGAATATTTAGGCAACTTGCTTTTTAAAAAAATCTTTTTATGTGTGTGTTTTAGTGTATGTGACTATGGGTGTGTGCCATGTTGCAAGCGTTGGGGTCAGAGGCCAACTGTGAGTATCAACCTTCATTTTCTATCCTGAAATGAGGTGCTCCTGGACGCTGCTGCATAGGACATGCTAGGTGGCCCACAAGCTCTCCCCCTCCCGAATATCCACAGAAGTGCAGAAGTGACAGATCATGTGCTACAGCATCTGGCTTTACTGGCTTTTGAGAGCCAGACTCGGGTCACCAGGTCTGCAAGGCAAATGCTTTGCTCACTGAGAAACCTCCCCTGCCTGACACATTTGGGGTGTTTTTGTTTGTATAACCATAGAGTATCCACCAACATCCTTGTGAATATCTATGGCTTAAATCACACTGCTGTTGATATTGCTACACACACACACACACACACACACACTATT